TGATCGCCTGTTGTTGGATCATTAAAGTTTGTGTCCGAGGTTTTTCGTCTTCTTACTATCCGGCGTGCTAGGAGTCTGGATCAAGCAACATAGTTGGGGATAGAATATTGTCACAGTCCGCATATCTCACTGTTTGCTCGCTACGTGGTCCAACCGTAACACCTACCCAAAGGACACTTGCTGTGCGCAGCCGCATCAGGAGTGAGATAGTAATGCCCTACTACCTGCGCCCTCAGGCCAGACCGGCCCCCTTCAGCCAATTAGGTCAGATTATCGAGTCATTGGTTCCGGTAAGGCCCCAAGAAAACCAGTCTTGCGGTTCAGACTTTCGAGTCACAGGCTAGAGGCAGGGTCCCTGAACAAAACCCTACATCCTCCCACTGCCTTGTGGATCAGACTATTGAGTCAAAAGCCCAAGGTGGGTACCCTTCTTCAGCCTGGGTAATCGGGAAGTATCATTTGCCCTTGCAGCTCACCGGTCTTCCTCCTCATCGCCTTCCAACGCATCGTACAATGCAGTGCAATCAACCCATCTTCCACCCCCTAGTCACTGTTCCGTGTCTCCACCACCGCCCAGAAAAATAAACTAAAATAATCACCTACTAACCTCAAAAGATCTAATCCACGTCACAGCCTTCATTGCCCGTACTCTGTGTCGAATTGGGCAACAGGCATCTTTTGCTGAAACCTTAATTTCCCTCTCCATCGATGTATGTCAACGAAACACGCAAACAAGATCCCATTTCGGTCATGCTCCTCAAGTCGCTGAGGGGCGAGCGCAGATGTTCCACATTTCACTTTAAAGAGAATCGGTGATCCTGACGCAATGGCTCGTGGTATCTACGGTGTGGGAGTTACACTCAGCCACAATGCTGAAAGCGCATTATTGGATCGGATCCCAGTACACACTCGCTTTTGCGCTGTGCGGTTGTCTGGCTCAATTAAGATTAAAGCAGGTTGATGCGGTAAACGATGTTTGTCATATCAGCAGATCTGAGACTGAGCAGGAAGAGTTTTATCAAGATCTTGCTTCGTTAAGCAAGAAGGACAGATATAGTAATCCTGGCGGATGATATGAATGCCCAAGTTGGACGACTAAGTCCGGAAGAAGCACAGTTAGGTCATGGGTTTGGGGTCGATACTGAGTGTACGGATAATGGAGAGTGGCTTCTTCAGTTGTGTGCAGATCATCGTCCGCTCGTGGCCAGTACGAACTTCCAACAGAAACCCACACAGCGAGTTACTTTAAGACCACCTAAGACAAAACAGTCGTGGACTCGACCGGACCATATGACTATCAGTTACCGATGGAGAACCTCAGTTAAGGATTGTCGTTCCTTCTGGGGTACGCAAATTGATTCTGATCATGCCGTCATGCGGGCCCGCTTAGCACTTCGGTTTCCGTCTGCACTACGCGTGCCTAAAGAGAGCAACTCCGTTGATCAACTTCGACAAGTTTCAGTACCTCAAGAGTATCAAGCTGACCTGGCTAGAAAGCTACCGTAAACGCACAGTTATGTGGACGACGAAGATTGCTTGGTGGATGAATGGAGGCGAGTTACAGAAGCAATGCTCTCATCTTTCAGAACTGCGTGCCCAACCCATCTGACTCGACGCAATGAACACTGGATATCTTCAGTTTCAGCAGATCTTATTGCTTCCAGAAAGGCCATACCAGCAACTAGTGACTATGATGCGCACATAGATCCATCAAACACCCGATAATCAGGAGCTTAAAGAATGACAGAGGACGTTAGCGGATTTCGAAGGCCCACTAGATGGAAAAAAGCCTTCGCTGCGGGTAACAGCCGCGCTATGTTTCAACTGATCCAATCGGCGGGTCAAAAGAAGGTAGGTGTCAGTGAGACAAGATGCGAAAAAGAAGGAACAGCAATTCACTCCATCAATCACCGTCTTGATGGGTGGGCTGAGCACTTCCAAGAACAGTTCACCTGGTCTCCTTCAACACAACCGCTAGAAGAACCAACCGGCCCGAATGGAACAATGACACCAACCCACGACCAGCAACCGAAATCCAGCGTGAGGTTTTAAATCCTGAAGCGCGACAGGGCACCTGGCCCTGGGCAGTGCAAGTCCCAAACAGCGTGACCTATGGATCGTGATTAATTTATCTGTTGTTGGTGTTAGGCGGAGTTTCAAACGGACCCCGCTTTACCGTTCGCATTTAGGCGCTGCTACGGTCAACAAACACAAGCAAGAGCGACCAAAAGTTCGGGACGGTTGCCGGTCCGGCATCAGGCCGAAGTCTGACGGGTCAAAAGTCTGGACCCAACAGCCAATCAGCACACAGTATTGGTGGAATGGAGGTAGCCAATGGCGCATCCACAAGGCGCCTGAATTTCCAGGTTGTCGCCACTTACACTAAGTTTATGATGCGCTGTTGAAGTGTTCTTGACTCAGTTCTTGGGAGGTCCAAACAGGGGACTAAGCTGAAGAAAACACCGTTATTAAAATTGGTGAACGCGAACCACCGCTGCTCCGACCTTAACAGCACAACTCGGTTACTAGTCGGTTATAGGGCGGTTAAAGTCGGTTGTTTGACGGTTATTCAGCCGTGTAGCTATCACGCAATCAACATGAAGTGTTGTTGCCACACTTATTCATATAAGCGTTTCGTATCATATAAAGCGTTAGCGTAAAACAAAAATGCATTATTCCAATTGATTTCCAGAAAGCCGTTCTGATATTTTTTTTGTTTATCTGCATCAATGCTTAAGTAAATGGCCGTAGGCACTAAGCCCATCTCCTGGATCGCTCCTGCTGTCTCCGCGTGTCCGCGAATTTTTATCTCTATGAATGGTAAGTCACAGGTGCTGATACATGCTGATACATGTATGACAACAATAGCCTTCCAAACGCGGTTTGCTCATTTCCAGTTGGACACTTAACCGCAAAATGAAACGTGCTAGAAAGCGACAGAGTTTCGTCAACTGCTGTTACGGTCGCGGTACGTTCGAAATCGGTTTCGTTTTTCCCTGGTGCAAATTCGTGAAAAAACTTTTTCGTTGTTCAATCTATTCACAGAGTACACACGAGTAATTTTTGAATTTTATTACTCTAGCGAGACATTCGAGAGATAACGCTTTATATTTTGCGCACACTTGCTATTTTACATCTAGTCCTAAACATGACATCAATTTATACCGATTGCCTCTGCAGCCATTGATAGACCACAACAGATGTGGGCGAAATGGCTGCCTGTCGAACGTCAAAGGCGGTATACAATGCCGCACATGCAAGGTCTAGTGGCATTTCAAATGCACGGGATTACAGGACGACCAGATAAGCCGATTAGCTAACTCTCCTGACCCGTTTGTCTGCGCCAGCTGCCTCTACATCAAGGGTGCGATGCATACCGCAGCGAAGAGGAGAGTCCCCCGAAACGTACCCAATCCCCAATGCAGCTTCAGAAAGACCACTGCCAGTGTTCCGCTTTAATCGTGATACTCGACGCCAAAATAGAGCGTCTTTCAAAGGCACTGGAGGACTCAGGCGCTAAGAATGCAGCAACCTGAAGGAAAGTTGACAAGGAACGTTCCCCGCTGAACCGACAAATCGCGACATCCATTCCGGGCCCCATGGCAGCGAAGAAAGTCATACAACTTTCTGACGCAACTATAAAAACCGCCACAGCGTCTCTAGTGGACAGGCGCCTAAGGGAAAACAGACTGATATTCTGAGGGTCATTCTCCGGAAAAACCGCGCCAGCGAAGCTGGCATAGTCGATACTCAGCAAGCCCGATAAATTGCTCCACGCAGAATGGCTACGCCAGAAGGGAAGTAACCGAACCCTTGGACATCTAGTCACTCTTTCTTCCCCATCCGACGTACAGGAGATCCTGGAGCGGACTGACAGCATTCAAAAGGCCAACCCAATGATCAGGCGCCTATCTGAGGATCGTCCTCTAGACGCGCGCAAGATTGGTCACAACAGGTCAGGAGTGGAAGCACGAAACAGGCTTCCACCGGGCACTAAACCAGACGACCCCAAACTCATGACCAAGCCGATTGTGGTCATATCCCCCTGTGCTCCCGAAAGCAGGCCGATGAAACCAGCTGGTTCTCCGGACAGCAGTTTTTATTCGACCACCACAGGCCTCTCGCCCACCAAAGGCAGGGACGCCCTGGAGGAGACAAATCCCACATGCAAGCAGCGCCCAAACTACGTGGAGCTATCAACGCTTATCTCCGTATCAGAGGGCACAGCTGCAGCCGCGCACTCGTCAACAAAGTCGCAGCCTCTGAACTGGACTGAGTCAGATGTGCGGGGACAAGGAGCGAAGCCAAGCTCTAGCTCCACTCCGTCAAAAGCGGCATCTCTGCTTGTGGACCCCACCGTCGCCCAGTACCCCGACACCCAAAGCCATAAACATGACTACAGCCATCCGGAAAACTCCGCGTACATGCAGGTGGCCACGCTGATCGCTGGCGGATCGGGTGTCCACACATACCCGAAAAAAGAGCGACTGCAGCCAAACGAGCCACATAAAAGTCGCCAGATTAGAAAACTGCTGGCTGGCTTCAAGGAGCAGTCCTCCGAGAAAACGAGCCTCTTGGGAGTGCCACCAAAGTCACTACTTCTTGGTGTCACCACTCGGCGCTCAGGGCCCCAAAGAGACACTTTTCCGGCCAAAACACCCAAGGATCCATAAAGGCGAAAGCTGGCAGGAAACCTTTGGTCAACAGCAAATCTAGTCGACGAAAAGGGGATGCTGAAAGAGCTACAAACAGCATCGGTAGAAATTTTCGCCCAAGGGGGAAAACTCCGTCCCCGAAAGCTAAAAGGCTCGAGCAAACCGAGCTCCCACGGAACGAAAAAAACCCCGCAGGCGAAAAGCACCCCCGGAAATCACAAAGACAGGAAGAAGACAACACCGCTCCAGAGGCCCCCTTAGAGCCTTGGATTCGGACTCAAACCCGGTCTGCCAACTAACCTGGTCACTCACCTTTCGGCTCCTGACCCTCGGAGGCAGAAGAGACTGTGTTGAAATGCTTGTACACAAACTGCTTCAGCCTTTTCAACAAACTTGGCGATGTCAAACAGTCAGCTTGCTTTAAACAACCGTCCATAATCGCACTGACAGAGACCTGGCTCACACCGGATGTCTCTGACGCGAAGATCTCGATAGACGCTTACTCTATTTTTCGAGCTGACTCAAAACGAGGGAGGGCTGGTGGGGTTGCTCTGTACTTACATGCGGCCCTACCAATCCCGATTGTCCTCACTGATACCACCCCTGCACTCTTTTTTCGATGCACTGTGGGTCCAAGCCCACTGTGCGGGTCTGATTCTCTCCTTCTCTGTGTGGTCTACCGTAGCCCCTCGAGTCCACCTGAAGATGACCAATTCCTCATACACACCCTCGAGCAACTCTCCTTCAACTACCACTTCACTCATCTCCTGCTGGTAGGTACTTCAACGGTCCACAGGCCTCCTGGGTGGAGCTCCAGCGCGTCGAATCAGGCGGACTTTTTGCAGCGCGCTGTTTGAAGTCGTTCAACAGAGCGCTTGGACCCAACATGTCGCTGCACTCACCAGATATCGTGCAGGCCAACTACAATCCCTCCAGGATTTGGTCATCACCAGCGAAAGACACCTCGTTGATCAGGTAACAATTAACGCTCCACTGGGGCATATCGACCACTGTGTTCTGATCTTTGATTTCATCTGCTATTGGGCGAGAAATCCCAAACCTTAAACGTGGTTTCGAGACTCCTGCCGTGCAGCCGTCTCAGGAATGCGTGTCTTTCTTGAACAAGTCACACTGAGACCAACTCCAGTGGAAGAACTATATACGACCATTGTCCAAAAATTTCACGAGGCTGACGCGACGTTCGTCCCGAAAAAACCAGCACGCACTCGGATGAACCGCAGGCTTCCAACAAGGATTCGGCGACTTCTGGAAAAAAGGTCCCAACTCTTTTTCAAAAAGTTGACTATAGGGGATACAGAAGATGAGCTGATATTTCGTAAAACGCGGAACCGCTGTAAATCAGAAATCCGCCGATGGAACATACGAAAACAGGCCACCATTTTGGACCTCGCCCGAAAA